GTCCTTGATTAGCTTCTCATGTTGGCTGTTATTGACATATACAAAGGCTACTGATTTGTGGACATTGATTTTATATCCTGAGACATTGCTATATTTTTTGATCACTTCCAGGAGTCTTGTGGTTGAGTCTTTGGAGTTCTCTAGGTATAAGTTCGTATCCTGGGCACCTAGCAAGAGTTTGTCCTCCTCTGCCCCCATTTGCATGCCCTTTATTTCCTTCTCTTGCCTGCTTGTATTGGCTAGAATTCCAGCACTATGTTGAGTAGTAGTGGTGATAGAGAACAACCTTGTTCTAAGTGCAAGCGAGTTCTAAGTCCAAAAGCTTTCAGTTTTACTCCGTTCAGTATAATATTAGCTATGGGTTTGTTGTAGACGGCTTTGATCTGATTAAGAAATGTGCCACGTATCCTTATATTCTTCAGGGTTCTAATTAGAAGGATGCTGAATTTTATTGATGCTTTTTCTGCATCTATTGAGAGAGGGTCATATGGCCTTTGTTTTTGCTGGTGATATGGTGAATTATGCGTATGGACTTGTACCTTGCATCCCTGGAATGAAACCTACTTGGTTGTGATGAATCATTTTTTGGATTTGTAGCTGTAATCTACTGGCTAGGGTTTTATTGAGAATTTTTGCATCTATATTCATTATGAAATTGGTCTGAAATTCTCCTTTTTAGGTGGCTCTTTTTCTGGTTTTGCTATCAGGGTGATGTTTGTTTCATTGAATGTGTTGGGGAAAATTCCTTCCTTCTCATAATTTTTTTTTTTTTTTTGGTAGTTTTTGGCCGGGGCTGGGTTTGAACCCACTACCACCAGTGGTTGGGGCCAGTGCCCTACTCCTATGAGCCACAGGCACCTCCTGTTCTACTTTTTTTTTAAAGAAAGTAGAAGGTTAATGAGTAATGTACACTTCTACAGACAGAGCACACCCATACTTACTGACAGAAGAGGGACACTGTCGAGAGACTGGGAATTTTACTGTTTTAATCTCATATTGTATCTTGGGGTTGTTTCTCTAAGGGGTTGGGATCATTGTTAGTTGAAACCAAAAGAGATGGAAAAGTTTAGTCAATTCCCTATTTTCTCATATTGTTCAGGTCATTGTCAAAAACTGTCTACGGAACAAATCCACCAGACATGTGGCACATTTTGCTTCCTGAAATTTCTCTAAGGCCCAATTTGATGGGGAACTAGAACCCCCCCCACAGAGGGTCAGAGTACCACAGATGTATGGCTTGTGGTGAGACAGTGTTTTATGTTATAGCTGGATTATGTTCATGTTCTTTGAAGGGTTCCTCAGATGAGTTTATTTATAGAGCAACAAACTGTATAAACTCTCACATTACACAAGAGCCATAGCCAAATTCATCTTGTAAAACATTTAAGGAATATTGTAACTTGAACCAAGTATCCAGAATAA